CCAAATGAACAAAAGCCCCCCCCCGCCCCCCGCCAGCCTGCAGATGAGGAGTTGAGGCTCAGCTCGGGCATCCAAGCCACGGTCCACTCAGGGCACTGGGGCGGGGGCCGCCTCCATTTGATGGGTCAGAGGCTAACCCGAGTGAGTCTGTGTCCCTTCAGCAACCCGGCATAACCTAGGATTGCAATAAGCAGACACAGAGTTATTGGCTCAGGCTTCCAGCTGGAAGAGGCTGCACCTGCTGAAGGGCAGGCAGGCAGGCAGGCAGGCTGTGGACAGCAGTGGGGAAGGGAGGGTGGGAAGGAAATGGGGGCTCAGCCGGTAATCCCTGTCATTTCCTTCTCCCTCTTGCAGGAATCTGGCCTTCAACCAGCTGGAGTTCCTGTCCTGGAAGGTTTTCTACCATCTCCGCCTGCAGGAGCTGTGAGTCTCTGCCCCCTGCACCCCCCCCCCCGTTACCCCTCCAACTCACAAAGTTTGGTCTTGTCCTTGATTTCTGGCAGAGCTCCTTCTCCCCTCCCGTGCCATCAACCAGGAGACTCAGAATCCTTCAAATTTTCGGAGCCCAATTCGTTCCTTACCATTCCCGTTGAAACGAATTAGCCTTTCCCGACTAAGGACACGTGCAAAATACTCCTGCTTGTCTGCCGAGGACAGGCCTGGCCAGGAGGGGGGTGTCCAGGCCCCCAGCCCCCCCCATGGTTTCTCCTTGGGCCAAGTCCACCGTTCAGACACAGCTTGACTTTCCTGCTAGGTGTGCCCCTCCCCAATCCGTATCGATTAACTCGAATAAAAGAGGCCTGGCCAGCTGATATTCCATAATGCAGTTTGGAGATCCACTCCACTTTAAGCAAGTATTGAAAGAGCAGCGTGGATAAATTGGGTTTCCCTTCTGCCTTGGCAGATATCACTCTTCCCTTTTAATGCTCTTCTGGAGAGCCAGAGACATTGACAAAAAAAAATAAAAAATAAGGAAATGGATGTTCTCCGGACTCCCAGTTCTGCTTGGGAGGTTTTGTGGCTTTTTCAGCCTG